TATATATATATATATGCTCTTCTTTGAAAAAATGCCTCTGAGTGATATATTAGTATTGGTATTGGAATATGATACTTCTCACGATTTGCCTTCTTTCTTTTTGATATTGTCAAAGGGGGAGAAGCATATGCGAGATGAAGTTAGGAAGCACAAAGTCACGGGGAACCTTCCATAACTACATGAAATGCATCATCGCAAGTTTTTTTATCAAAAAGGGTGAGTATGTGAGTGCAACTTCACCATTAGATGTTTTGTATGATGTCAAAACTAGGAAAACTTAGTATTTCTGTATATTGGACGATATATCTATGTCATGTGGCACTCCCTTGCTTTAGAGGTCTTAGAAATTATTTAAAACAAGTTTGAAATTGGTCCCAATCAAGAAAAATCAGTCTCTGCACAAAAAAAAAAGTTTATGTGATGACCTGAAACTCGTATGTATCAACACATAAAATAAAAATTTCTTCAATATCTTAAAGGCTTCAGTATGTGTCGACATATATGATTTATACGTCGATATATGTGCTTCAATATTAAAGCATGTATCACATTCAGCATTTCTGCTTTAAAACATAGGCACATGCGCCAACACATATGATTTATGCGTTGACACATGTACTACATTGTTAAAGCATATAGCCATTGTTTTGTATGTGTGGCACATAACCTTTTCAGGTCGCACATATTATTTTGTGGGTCATTTTTTCATAATTTTTTCATTATGAAACTTGCCACTTTTCCCTAAAAAGTTCCCGACTATAAATATATCATTGATGCATCATTCCAACTCGATGATACCATAAAAATTTCCTGGAATTGCTCTTCATCTTCAATCTCCAACCTATTTATTCACACTAACAAATCATTGTAATAATATTTTATTGGGGTTCCATCTAGATGAGGTTTGATAATGTCCAATTAGGTTCTTGTGTAGCCAAGAAAATTGGGTTGAGATTTTCAGGGGTCTTCATCCGGAAAAACCATGGGTTTATCCTCCAAGATCATTGGTTGATTTGGGGGTTTTCGTGCACGATGTTTAAGGCAACTAGGAAAATGATAAAACAATGAAGTCGTCATTGAATGTTATTTATCCCACAGAAGGGAAAGAAAAACATCGAGTAAACCTGAGAAAGGATAATATGGTTTTGCGACTAATAGAAAGGGTACGGGAGTCGATTATGTAAGGAAGAGGTATTAGCACCCCTCACGTCCGTTATACTCCATGGGATCCAATCTTGTTGTTCTAATCAAAGGGTGTGTTTATATCTAAAGCTTATAAGCTAAGGGAAAATGCATGAATGCAAAGTATATACACTAAAAAGAAAAGTTGTTATTGTTGTGCTCGCCTTTGGTCGTGAGACCTAGTGCCTACGTACCCCCGTCATGCAATAGGGAAATCAGAGCATCGTAGTTCTTCTCAAAAAAATTGGTTTGTTGTGTTTTTTATGAAAGATGCTAATTTTGCATTCTACTGAAGCTTGACCTTTGGAGACTCGTGAATTTGTCGTAAAAAAGAGTTAACATGTTCTTACCTGAAAAGGTTTTCAAAAAGACAAGCCCGAAGGTAAAAGGTTTGAATTAGTTTAGTCTTTTTCACCTTAAAAAGGGGTTTGGTGATTTGAACCACATTAAATACTATGACTGAAAGGAAACACAAGGTTGGTAATGCACCCCCTCAATACTCCTCCCAATACTTAAGGCTCGTGACACATGGTTTGCCTCTTTATTATTAAGTGTTTTGAAATTTGATTAAGAAAAAGAAGTTTTAATATTAAAGATGCAAAATGGGAAAGAAAAAAAGCCTAAGGGAGACTAAAGTTCTAATGTTGTCATGTACAATGGTCAAAAAGTTAGGATAACAAAGGGCAAGCTACCTAATGTTATCATGCAAGATAGAACTATGTATGAGGATTAATAGGACTACTTAATGTTATTATGCTTGGTTTATAAATCTAGGGTCTACTTTAGTTCAACCTTGAACAAGAATGAACCGAAGAAAGCCTATAGGGAACATGTGATCTTACAAGATAAAGAAAAGATAAGAAGAGGAAAAGCAAGCATCAAACACTTAACCAAGATTTGAAAGAAATTAAACACACATGAGAGATAACTATCAACTCATATATTAAGAAGTTAAACAAGATGCCTAAATCACACCTAGTTAACCAATCAAGCAACAAAGTGACAAAACTTATGCAACTAGGTGTCTACCTATGCACTAGTAAGTCAAGACTAAAGATAACACAAATAGAACACTTAAACAGGTAGAATTCATGTCATCAAAGAAAATTATAAGAGAATATGTCACACATTAATCCATAATAAAGGGAACAAGGCATGCAAGAGTAAAACATCTCTAAATCCTAGAAGCTATCCTACTTGACCAAGTAAGGAAACAAAGAAAACAAGAAATGATTAAGCAATCAAATGGACATATCATGAGAACATGCCAAATAAGCATAAGTTTCTTCCTCTAACATGCTATAAGTCTAACTTTACCCTAAATAAAACATCAAGGGTCAAGAAGAAGAGAAAACAATCTTATGAGGCAAGTAGAAGTGACAAACACACAAAAGAAGTAAACACTTCAATAATGCTACTTTGAATAAAGAAACAAACAAGAGGAGACAATAGGTAAATACCTAAGTCTATACAGGTTTTAATATATCACATCATGAAAGGTCTGATGTTATGAAACATTACTTAAACAAACCAACCATGCATGGTAAGAAGAGACAAGGTTCAAACAAGTTGCAAACAAAGTTCAAACATGAAGCATGTTATCAAACACTTATGGGGAAGAAACATCACATCAAAGTGAAAACTTAGACATGGAAAATAAGGTATAAGGGTCATGCATGCAAGGTTTTAGCATTAGAAGGTTCAAAAGAGAGCAAACACCTAAACACACTAGCATGCAATCTCTATGAGTTAAGTGTTTAACCTTACATGGCATAAGAAGGTGAAGTGAAGTGAAAGAGATGAAGAGGCTTACAAGTTAGTATAAAATTCATAAATAAATCAACATCATCATCCATTCATGCTGGAGAAGGATACACCACAAGATCATACAAGCACATACACATAAATAATCCCTAAGCGGACACAAGTCCTCATAAAATGCTATCAAGTAAAACAAGTAGAAAGAGGAGGGATATGGGAAAGAAGGAGATACAATTATGATCATGGTACTCAATTAGGACATGTATAAAAGGAATAAATAAGTTTAATCAAGAATTGGATTCAAGGTATAAGCATTAAAGCATACAAACATCAAGCAAAGTTGACAAAAAAATGAATTATTCCTAACAAGGAAATATAAATAATTAGGCATGTAATTAGGAATCAAGAGAAGAGAATTAAGAAGGATGGAAATGGTATCATTACATATTAAAGACCTCAAATCATCACTAAGGCATCATACCAAGGCATACTCAAGGATTGAGACAAGAAGAGATCAAAACAAAACCTGAGCATCCTCCTAATAGAGCATTAACATCAAGTTAAGTAAAGGGGAAGAGGGATCATGGAAGCGAGGTATCAAACCACATAAGTCAGAAGCAAATAACATATAATATCAATCACATAGGTATCATAGCATCAAGAAGGAATAGCATGAGAAGCTCAAGGAATGGCACCAAAGATAGGCAAGCATACATGGAAAATTTCACACAAGTGAATCCACATTCAAGAGGGCATAACTTGCCCTATAAAAATGAGTAAGGAGGCTCTACCACATGGTATTTCAATCATGAACAAGAGGTAGGCATAATTCCTAAATGGTTGCACAAGTGCACCTCTAAACATCACACTAATGTGCACAGGCATTTAGGCAAGCATGCATTCATTGTATCCAAAAATATGATACTTAAGAGGCTTCGAAAGTGAATGAAAAATCATCAAAGTATCATGAAGTCAGTAGCTCAAATGTGTCCTAAAATGGGCCTAAAGGAAGGGCACAAAATTGATCAAAACAAAATCAATCATCAAGCATCAAAGGCAATTATTGATCAAACAAGTTAAGTTTCATAAAGAGACTTAGAACGGTCATCAAACAAATCACTAATCATCAAACTAGGTCAAATAAACATTTCTCATGCTAAAATCAAAACAAAATACCAAAATAAATGGAAAGAGGAAATAAAATTCATAGAAAATTAAATAAGACTTAGAAGCATTTAAATGTATTTTTTGGGATTTTTTAGAGTGAAGGAAATAATAAAATAAAATTAAAAAAAAAACAAAAGAATAAAATGAAAATTTAAAAGGAATAAAATGAAGAAAAAAGTGACACAATAGAAAATGTCACTATTAAATTAGTGACACTATTTTGAAAGCGGCATAGAATTAATTGCGATGAGCCAATCAAATGAAGCCACCTACCTATGGCCCCATTAACACATCCCAATGTCTCTTTTCTGGTTTTTTTTCCATTTTATATTAAATAAGAAAAATAAAGTGTAACAAAAAATATGTGAACATGTTATCAACCGGCCAAGTGTGAGTAAAGTTGCTTAAAGACAAAAACATAAGCCATCCAATCCCTACACGCCACCATATCATCTTCTACGTTCAACACAAACAAAATCAGAAAAATAAAACCCTAACTTAGTTTGTTTCTTCCATTTTCGAGTCCAAATATCTCACTCAAACCAGCATTAAATCACACAAAATAAAATACTAACATGAAGTACTCCATGAGTAGAATAACAACATATCAATTGGATCTCAAAATAATGGCTCAATCATAAATAAATAAGACACGAAAATGAAGCATCTAAAACTGAAAACATAAAATCCAAACATCATGAACTCAAGTAATTAACCAATTCCTCTCTTAGAGGACTTCCAAATGCAATACATGATCATATTTATAGCATTTTAAACAACTTAGATCTAAGCATGAGAGGGAGAGAGTTTGCGTAAAAATTACTAAAGTGGAGAAGGTCCACGGCCTCTTGAATCTTGTGAAGAACTTCAGAAACCTTATCACAATGTCTCTATGATCTTAAGATGATATGAATGAGGCAAGAGAGAACCGGAAAATACCAAGTAGCAAGAGCTTCAAAGAAGAGAAATGGAGAAAATAGAGAAATGTTGGAGATCTGATTTTTCTTGCTTGCAATGCGTGTGTGAAGTTTGTGAGGGTGAAAGAGAGTTTCATAGAGTGAAATGAGTGTGGTTAGAAGGCAACTCATGTTGAGAATTATGTTATGGGAAAGTTTGGAAATTTTGGCAAAATTAAAATGGTGAGTTGTTGCTTTGTGCTTTGCTTCATGAGAGGGAATATTTTGTTGTGTTTTGGGTGAATAAAAGAGAGTGAGAAATGTGTGAAAGGGACTGGTCACATGGGAGAGAGTGGTGGCAAGGTTTGTACAACTTTCAAAGATTTCTCTTTTTGGTCATTTTGGAGAATGAGGTGCGTGCATGATACATTCATGGTTTAGGCTTTTAGAGTAAAGGAGTAAGGGTGGAAGACGTGTGGACCTGATGCTAAAACAAAAACAATGGCCTATAATCTTTGAATGACCCAAATGGAAATGTTGTGATAAATATGAGCTTGTGTTCATGGAAGCCGCTTTTTAAGATCATAACTTGATGAGTTTTTATCCAAGTGATATGAACTTGGTCTTGATGTAAAGAGAGTAAAAAGATGAACATCTTTAATGTTGAGAGGATTTTGAATAGAGTCCTGGAAAGTATTGAAAATATCCAATGAATATGGAACCATATAAATTGATTCAAGACTTAGATAAATTTCTTAGTGTAGGTCACTTTACCACTTCAAATAGCCAACTTTTAATGATGATGACTTGGTCCATAAAGAACCAAATGAGAAACTGATCTTACCGGTTGATCATAACCTGCAAGATGGTCGAGTGATGATCTGCAGTCGGGTTGTGATGTCGAGGAGGAAAAAAAAGGGTTGTACCTGCAAGGCACTCCGACGATCAAGTAAGAGAAGGAACAATGAGATACAAGCAAAGTGTTAAGGTATTAGTGGTGAATAGTGATTATTCGATACCTGGCCCTCACAAGTATGAGGGTTTATATAATGCCCATGGCGCATGGCCATTGGTTTCGGTTTTTGGGCCTGGATATGCGGGTCCGCAAAAATAGATAACTTCCTGGACTTGGTCAAACTGGGAAGATGTTCTCGTAACTAGATGTTGGTTCCGAGTAGGAGGTAGATTACGGGAAATGGTTTGGTCGGTTCCTATTTGTCTGCACGACTTGAGGTCGGACACACTGAGAGGTATTCGTCGATCATCTTAGGTCAATATCGGTTTGGGAGGGCAAAAGGTCAATATTGCCCGACGGAGAGCGGGGGAGGTTCGGGCCACGGACGTATAGGCCGTGCTAAAAGAAAGGGTTAGACTGGGCCCATTCTAGTTATCGGGCCAGTCTAGAACAGTAGCCCCCTAAGTCGTTGCTTCTGAGCATATGAGTGATAACTTTAACACTTGCTCATGGAACGGGGCGCGTCTTACGGGGAGAATGAGTGTTTCCCGTTGCGCCTTTCTCGCGAGGAGATGAGGAGTTAGTCATTAGGAGCCTTGAACTTGAAGAGGTAGTGTGTTTCGGGTAGCGTGCTGGCGAAGTGGCGCAATGATGGCCTAGGGGTTATGGTGTAATGATGATGACCCAAGGGTTTCCCATGCGTGTGCCTCACATGTGCGGATGGTCCCCGCTATAAATACAAGAGAAGTAGGAAGTTTAGTGTTTTTTGTTCCCTCTCCCAAGTGCTCCTAATCGCTCGCCTGTCGACCACCATCGTTTCTTGAGATCGCTGCTCACTACTGCTATTTCCAACCTTCCTTCTTCTTTAACTGGTAAGATTTTAGTTTTTTGTTTCCGTTTGCTTTCAGTAGTTCAGACTTTCGCGATTTTCTTCCTAGAAATGCATGCCCTTGGGGAGTGTTGGTGGCAGGAAGTGGTTCTGTAGTTTAGAATCTCTAGAGCCGCCGTGAATCCTCCCCAGGCATTTCATGATGCGTCATAGACGATCCTTTAGTTCTTAGGGCTCTTTCTCGAACTTCTTCTTGTTTATGCACCTTAGTGAGGGTTATGGTCGAGGACATGATCCTCGTTTCACAGCGTCCTTTCACTTGATTAGCGGTGGAAGGATGGTTCTAGCATTGATGTCGAACTCATCTTCATCCTCTTCTTTTCAAGTAATATGGCCGACAATTCCCAGGTTGATCTCTCGAGCGAGTCTTCTAGATCTTCACGGAGTTCTTCGGACGAGGTGAGTAGCTCGTCGAGCATTCTGTAGATTTCCGGGGATGAGTTGAATCAGCTGGAATAGCAAGTGGGGGAGGCAATATGGATATGGCCTCTGTTGATCAAGGTTGCTTGTTTCCCCCAGAGGACGAAGAGGATCTGCGGGCTTGGGTCACAAATGATCCCTGGGACTGGCCCTCTTATTTCTTTGTGCACCGGGATGATGTTTTTACTGAGGTATAAACTCATGAGGAAGGAAACCGGGGAGAGTGCTCGATGTATATTCCTGGGAAAGAGAGCAGGATCTGCTCGAAATATGACAGAAGGCAAATTCCCATGTACGACATCATGTTTCGGGAAATGGGTCTTCGGCTCCCTTTCTCGAATTTTGAGGTGGCCGTATTTAGGCATCTACGACTGGCTCCTTCCCAATTGCATCCAAACGGCATCGCGTTCATGCGAGCGTTCGAGATTGTTTGTGATTACTTGAAGATAGGGTCTACCATTCCCTTGTTCTTCTATTGCTTTCACCTCCATAGGAGTAAGATCTATGGCAAATTGGGATGGGTTGCATTAAAGCAAGGAAACAGGAAGCTATTTAAAGCTTATCTGGAGCCCGTTCGTCACTTCAAGGATAAATATATACTGGTGCAGCCTTCTTTGAGTAAGGCGATGTTGAATGTTTTTAGGACCGTACCGGCACGTAACGAGGATGATACTCCCCGTTTGAAGGAGCTAGGAGAGCCTATGGTAAAACTGGTTTACAAGTTCCCGTTCTAGTGGACGAGGAAGCACTTAGATAATGAATTATGTTCCTACATCTGGAGGGAGGGGGTCTTGAAGTCGAGGACCAGGAGAGCTTCGCCGTCTTGACTACTTTCTTAGCCCAAATCCCTCGTGTCCAGCGAGTGGGCCGGGGAGGCAGGCCAGTGATCGACAAGAACGGGGAGGTTGTATATGATTCGGGCCTTATAATCGTCAAAGAGCTCCTCGGGAGAGAGGATCACGTCAAGTATTTGGGTATTTATTTTATAAATAGTTGTATGCGGTCGTTGCTTATTCGAATCCTCGTTTGCTAACTACGGTTCTTTTGTTTGTTTTGCAGATAACATGAATCCCACCCAAGAGTGCATAGCCAAGACTCTTACTTCTAGAGTGAGGAAGGCTCAGAATGATGCTCAGACTGGCTCGGGGGTCGCTCCTACTTTGGGGTTGGGTGACTCGTCTTTGGCCCAAGCTACGGTTGCTCTCTCTCCTGCCCTTGTATCCTCGAAAGAGAAAAGACCGTGTACCGAGGAAACCGTCGACCTGACCGCCGAGAAGGGGAAATGGGTGTACGACCTTCCCCCTTGCTGGCTAGAGAAGGCTTTCTTTGAGGGGGAAGCTCTTCGCCTTCCTCGGGCCGAATCCCTTCACCTCGAGGGTTTGGGCCGTCCGGAGAAGAGGGTGATGCTGGCGCATGATATCGGTGGTTTAATGTGGATTTTGGAGATGGTTGTCGCCTATACTGAGGGGAGTTCTTCGTAGGAGGAAGAGTTAAAAAAACCTTAGGGCTAAGCTTGATGCGAGCGAGAAATCCCGGATCAAGGAGGAAACGGCACGGAAGCTGTCCGAGAAAGAATCGGGGAGACTCTCCGAGGAACGCATGATCCTGCTGCTCGAGAAAAAAGATCTCAAGGAGAAGGTAGCGGTCCTGACATCCGAGGTGACGCCTGCTGAAGACGATCCAGAGGACACAAAAGATTTAAAGACTCGGGCCGAGCTTATTGCTCGTTTTCAACTGGCGGTGGATAATGCCCAGGCTGCCTCCGAGGGGAGTTTTGAGAATACGGTGAAGCATATCCATGTGCTGAACCCCGGGGTTGAACTCAACACTTCAGACATGTGGGTCAACTATTACATGGCTGCCGATAAGATTCTGGTCCCCGATTACCTCAAAGAGTTTGTTGCTCAGCCCGCCAGGGGTCCTATGTGACACCCCAAATAATCCGATTATTAAATAATTAGAATTTTTAATTATTAATTTAATTGGAAATTTAATTATTGGTATTTTGGATTATTGGAATTAATTTAATTAATTAAAGGAAAGAAGTATTGGTGGTGTGAAGAGTGATTAGAGGGTGTGAGGGGTAAAATACTCTACTCTTACTAATTACTAATTTAATTATTTTATTGGAATAATAAAAGGAGTATTAAAAGGAAAAAGAAGAGAAAGAGAGTTATTTTGGAATATTCATCATACGTGCATTTGAGAAGAGGAAAAAGAAGGAGAAAACCGGAAGCGTCAGAATTCGAAGAACCCACAAGGTAAGGGGTGATTTCGATTAGTTAATTCGTATTATCGGTTTAGATATTCAATAGTATGGATCATAGTATGTTAGGGAATCCCGGTTTTGAATTCTAGGGTCCCGTAGAATTGTCCTTATTGCGTCGAATTGTAGGTTGAAAACCATTAAGGTGTCAGATGATAAAAAGGAATGATGAAATAATGTTGTTTGATGTTATAATGGTGCAAAATGGATGTGTTTTGGTGTTTCTCATGTTGCAATTCGTATGGGTATGTTTGGAATTGGTTTAGAATGAATAAATGCTGTCAAAAGTGCAGAATTTGACTCTGCAGGTCGTGGGAACCGGTTCCCAGTGGGGAGGAACCGGGTTCCACTGTGTGAATTTATAAAAACTAGCAAAAATGCACGTAGGAACCGGTTCCTGTATAGGTAAGAACCGGGTTCCCATACATTTTTCCAGAAGCGTGATTTTTGAACTTCGCAGGAACCGGTTCCTGCATATGTAGGAACCGGGTTCTGCTGTAACTTTTGAAAAATATTAAACTTTGAAAATTCATAACTTTCAAACTGTAAGTCCGTTTTGAGTGCCGTTTTGGACGTTATTTCTTAAACTTAATGCTCTATTTTATAAAATGAAAAGATTTCCTAAAACCTGAAATTATTTTGAAAATGAGTCAAATCCCGGAATAAGTGATTATTGACTAACGCACATGGGTGTGTATGTAGCAGTGAACCTGTGATGGATGGATGTATTAGTATTGTGTGAATGAAAGGCATGTTTATGTTGCTAATGATGGTGTGCATGATCTTTGAGATATCATGTTTTTGGTTTTGGTTCAGTTATGATAAATTGATGTATTTCATAGACTGATTTGATGTTGCATGCT